ATGACACCAATCATCTTTCAAAGTAAACCAATAAAAGAAAATGATTTCATCCACAAATCATTAGAACTAAACCAAAGCAGCTTGTGGTCACCGAGTTTACAGGATGTCCCTGTTTGTTCACTTCAATTCTGTTTTTAAACTTAACAGTAAATCAGCTTTACTGTTAAGTTAAAAGGCCTCTTTCACACTTCGCTTTTACGGATCAAACAACCCTTTTTCTTCTTTCCAGGGACTGTCTCGGTGTGTCTAGGAATTGCTCATTTGTCCAACCACTGGACCACAGAGCATCACTGGGATCAGGAGGATGGGGGGGAGGATAGGGGGAGGATAGGGGGAGGATAGGGGGAGGATAGGGGGCCAGAGAAACCAAACAAGTGCTGAGCTGAGATAAAAACCGAGGGCTAAAACAGCCGGAGGGGGGATATCGCCGGTCAGGTGCCCGGGACGACGCAAATGCTGTGAAAGAAATGAAAGATCAGCATCCGCCCGCAGCCAGGGGGGCGCTAAAGTTAGAAACGCCACCATCAATGGAGAAATTCATGTTTTTTTAAACTTGTGTTTTATGTTATCAATGGCATTCCTACACGCTCAAACAGCCACCAGTTGGGCTTCATACCCAGCCGTTATGTTGAAAACTGAGGGGACGACCGATTTCTAGACAAGTCCGGAGCAAAGAAGTGCTCATTTTTAAGAATATAAGTGGAAAGATGAAGACCAAACCTGGCGTGATGTCAAGTCTGATCAATCCGAGAGGGAACGTCAAAAAACGAATGCTAATCAAAGCAGAGGAGGAGCATTTTTCCTGAATTTAAAGGGGACATATTATGCAAAACCAAGTTTATATTTGAACCCTATAATACCAAATGTATCATATTTGATAGATACGGTTTCTGAAATGTTTTGCGTCTGACACCTTTTGCATAATTTAATGGTAAAAACTTTGCTCAGAAGACTACACAAAAAATAATCTTGACTTATCGCATAGTAATAACTTATTATAAAAAATTCATTTTTGTTTTTTCATATTTTGTTAAAAGGCCAAATAAAGACTTAAAACCAAAAAAAAGTAATTTTCTGTTTTGTTTTATTCTTGGATCAGGCTTTAAAGGGCTAATTCTACACGATTAATCTCCACCAGGGCTCTGAAATATGAAGGTTATGCCACAGAAATAACATCTTCTGTTGATGGAGCCAACATTAAATACAGCCGTTCACTGGAACAGGGCAGATTAAAAACTATTCTCTTTTTTTATTTCCTGTCTTGTTGATTTGGGGCTTAATCCAGATGTCAACTGGAGGTGTAAAGAGTTAAGAACAGACCCACTGTTTGACGCCTTTGTTGTGATAACCATTAGTAACTCTAAGGATTCTTGATAGAAACTTGCTGTTTCTCTATCAGAGTGATGTCAGAAGTTTTTTGCTTTTTTAAAGATGCGTCAGTCCAGATTAGAAAGCTTTAATTCAGATCTGATGTTTAGTTCTCATTTAAATCTGGTCGTTCTGCCCGTCTAAAAAAACAGATGTCAATCAAGAGCAAATATTTACTCTCTTTTACAACTCTGAGTCAACAGAGAGCCCAAACAGGAAGTGAGGTGGGCAAAGTGAAACGAATATGATGCTAAACGAGTGTGTTAACAGCTCTGTTTGGAAACGCCTGGATGAAAAAGCGATGACAGTTTGTTAGCAGGCAGATGCTGAAGTTGAATCATTCCCCACCAGGACAGTCCTCAAGTATTCAATTCTTAACTCACTGACTGCCAGCCATTTTCAGAACAGAGTCCCATACTGCCTGAGTTTTTTTGAGCATTTTGACTGATTTTTCAAGAGCCACAGAATAGTTTGTGCTATGACTATGTAAACACCGAACACACCAAAAGAAAGAGTAGACTCTCTTCTTTCATCAAGAAATTTTTTTTTGTTTCTACCTTATTCCGTTCTTCCTCGACTTGCGTCTCACCGGCGACATTTCTCGCATATTGAACCGTTACCTTTTTCTTATTTGCCTACAGTCTATGCTCATCTCCCATCAAAAGTGGCACTGCCCCCTAGAGGGTCAATTTGTTACTACATACTCTGTCTAGAAGCCGATATTTACGGACAAGCTTTAGCAGATCGTCCCCCAGACACTCTCGTTGAAAAACATAAAAGACGTCTGTAGCCGGTTCTGGTTTCTCCTCTAAAACTCAGCCACTAAAGTAACGTCAAACACGAACTTTATTCCTCCTCCCAGCTCACAATCTCCGTCTCTCCAACCCGCAAAAAGAAGCCCCCGAAGACCTAGGGATGGGGATCGAAACCCGGTTCTATCAAGGACCCGGTTCCACTTTTTTCAAAACCCGAAAATCAATAACGTTTGGGCTTATCGATACCACTATC